TATGAATATCCGAAATCTTTTTGCTTTAAAATAAATGATGTAATACATTTTGTAATATCAGGCCAGTGTTTATACTGCATTATCTTTTCTTATTACTAAAGGTCTTCCGATGTCTTCCGCTGGACTGCATCCGCAACTTGCGTGAGCTTCAAGAACATGTGAATGCTCAAAACCTCGGTCTTACTGACCCGGAGAAAGCCAAAGAAGAACTACAGGCCATCAAGGGCATCTTGGTCCATTTCCCGTTGCACTTCCTGTGCGAGGAGTACCTTCTCCCGCCACTTAAAAGCAAAGAAGGAATGGTTCCTATGGAAGTGTGGACGTAAGAGGGAAGAGTGTCAAATATTTTGAAGTGTGCCAGTGAAACTGAAGACTTCAGAGTTTAAAATATCACACATCTACTAAGTTGGAAGCTACAGTGGTTAACTGCCACATTTTTGTCCATTTTGGTTTGGACTTAAGTAATACTAGTAAGTTAATGATTAGGTCTGAACACTAACCCATATTAGTGTGGAACGGGTTCTCAACTCTGGCCCTCGAGGTCCACTTTCCTGCAGAGTTTAGGTCCAAACCTGATCAAACTCACCTGCCTGGAGCTTTCTAATCATCCTGAAGACCTTGATTAGTTAGTTTGTTCAAGTGTGTTTGATTAGGGTTGGAGCTAAACTCTGCAGGAAAGTGGACCTCGAGCACCAGAGTTGAGAACCCCAGGTGTAGAAAAACAAAATGATCTTGTATGAGAAGATAAACGTGTTTATACTAGGAAAATCACACAGTGTTTTTGCTAATTATATGAAGATGCAAAGAAATGGCAACAATGTTCTCCCCAAAAGCCCATTACGGCCATGAATGTCATGATCCGAGTAATTAAGATGGCCGAGGATGTAAAGTGCTGCATGTCAAACGAGGAAAGGAGCAAATAAGGCAAAAGAGAGAGTATTTTTGATGACCGAGGAACAGAACGTACATTTATTGTTGTGAATGTGTGTGGGTGGATGGCGCTGCTTTACCTTCTTTCCCCTCTCTCTTTATTTCTTTCTTGTGTGCACTACACCTCCCAATGCAGTGGCAGCAAATCTGTCAGAACATTTGTGGTTGTTATGGTGACGGGTATAAAGAGCTGACTTGGTCTTGGCTGCTGAGAGAGAGATAGAATGAAAGAAAGAGAGGAACAGATCGAGAAGCACGAAATAATAGACAAACCGTAAAAACATGGATAACGGTGGGGGGTGGTATGCTGGGGTACTTGGTCAGAGAAATTATGTAATGTTTTTTTGAAACAGGTAGAGGGGGTAGTGTTACGGAGCAGGGATCAGGTGGGGCTTCAAACATGGTGAGATATTCAGGGGGAGTCTCAGCTCAACATTTAGCAATCCCCCCCACCCCCAATCTCCATGGCAACCAGGAGAAATTATTGTTATGTAATAATGTCAGCAGCCCAGAAGATTCCACTTTCGGTTTTTTGGAGGGGGTGTTGACACAAGTAGAGAGCACACTGGAGGCCAGATAAGAAATGCTAATTTTGTCAGTGCCCCACTTTGTACACGATCACTAATCTGCCTATGTAATGCTGTAGAATGTTATAGATGACGTTGCCTGCACTTGAAGACAATGTTTTAGGGGTTTGACCACGGGAGACACAATTATTAATATACTGTAACATTCCAATCACATCAAGCAATCACCTTTATGAACTAACAATTATGCCTTTTTAAATCTCTATACCTGTTCAGACATATTAACATATCTGCTTTTGCACATTTTTATACTTTTCAAGTACATACAATTAGGCCTGTCACGATAACAACTTTTTGTTGTGTGATATATTGCCCCAGAAATAATTGCGATAAGCGATATTATTGTCATTTTAAAGTCCATTTTATGCCACTGAATATATATTCATAACGTAACAGCATAATAATGCAAGAAGGCCTACACATTTCCAAATGACAACAAACTTAATTTTTAAGAATATTTAGATCATGGAAATTAAGTATCAAAATATTAGATACCTTAAAAAACCTGAATAAATAGTAAATAAACATTTTCTAACAAAAAGTGCAAAGTAGAAAAAAAGAAAAATGCACAAAGAACTTGTATGGAGATTTTTCCATCTACAGATTTTTTTCCTGACCTTCTTTTCTCTGTAAATTAAGGGTGCACACTATTGCTGAAAAATACAATCACTACTCAGCAGTCAGATGTCCGTATGCACAAAGACACAGATCCTTAAACAAGATCATATCTGCAGATGAAACTTTGTTTGTAGAAGCATTTTTTAAATTTGAACTAGCACCTCATGACTACACCACGTTATGTACGAGAAGCTGCAAAAGACACAGACGCAAGTGGAACGTACAAAACGTGGTGGCATTAATTTTTAAGAAAATATAATGGGTGATATATTGCGTCACCAAAAATGATTGAAGTCATGTACATATATTGTGCGATAAGTCGATATATTGATTATTGCGACAGGCCTACATACAATTGCTTTTATTTAGAAAGCAAACAGAACTCATTAACTAATACTTAAATGAATCTTGTCTAACACTGTTTTCACAGCTTTTGGACATCTGGTATAGGCCTTACCTAGGGTAGATGCCAAATTGAATTTTCTTCAGATGAAAACGATGCTGTGAACAGCATGCACTCTGTAAAGGTCCTAGATCACGTTATTTTCAAAACTCACGATTTATTAAAAAAAATGTTTTGTTTGTTTGAAAGATTTTTTTGTCAGCTGAACAAATTGCATGTTGTTAAACAGGACAATCAATTGAACACACTGTACTTCTACCCTCACAGCCTCATTTTCATTCCTGTCAAAAATTAAATATGGTGCTACCCTGACTAAGGTTTATACGTGATTTGTGGGGTTTTTTCTAGATGTACGACATGTATTTTTGGATTAATGACTATAAATGACATATCACAGTTGTTTGTAAACCATTGAGCAATCAATTAATTTTTCCTCCATCTGTTCTCCATATGAATAAATATACTTGAATTCATTTACTTCAGGGGCTTGTACCATGGATGGTAGCTGAACAAACTCAGGGTTACAGGATTAGTTTTGAGTTGACGAAACCAAATCAATCCAATCTGGCTTTGTTGGTACCATGACACTGATCATCAACTTTCTCTGTCATCTCAGGCTTTCATCCTGAGTTCATGAAGCGTGTGCACATGAAAGTGTGACACATGAGAAGTTTATAAATCTATGTAATGTCCCCATTTAGATAGCTAAGTAAACGTGTGTGTGTGTGTGTGGTTTTGCCTACTTTATTGTGAGCACTAAATAATCCCACAAAACATTGTGAGGACTATAGTCCTCAGCAACGTTAAATTATTTATACAGCACTTTTCTTAAACTCAAGGTCACTTTACAGAGCGAACAACACAAAAATGTGAACACAAGGCAACTCAGAAACAGAATATAAATGAAGTGAAACAAAATGTAGAGGGAGACTATTATAGAAACCAAGTAAATTCAAAGAAAAACAATAAGACAAATCAGTACTCATAATGAAAACTGCTTAAAGGGATAGTTAAGGGAGGGATTATTTTAAAATGAAAATTCAGTCATTTACTCACCCTCATGTCATTCCAAACACTGTTAACTAAACCAGTTTTGCTGATTGATGACTTCCATAATATGGAACACACACAGACTCATGTCTTAAAATATCTTATTTTGTGTTCTACAGTAGAAAGAGAGTAGTGTACAGCAGGGCCGTGCACAGACCTTTTGAGGGCATGTGCTGAAACTGAAAAAGGGCATCTTAATGATAAGCGGAGAGTATAGAATACTACATTCAAAAATGAGCTAGCTAGCAAATATGCATATTAACATCGTAAACATTAACCATGCTGTGAGTGTGACCATATATAATATGATTAAATGTTAATAAATTAAGTGTATCAGCAGATAACCATCATAAATCAAAGAATTTTCTTAGAAATATATTTTACCTAGCTGACGAGGAACACTCAGTCGCTTTGTGTCAAACTCAAATGCAGTTATGGCCGGGTTTTTGACCAACGAATGTGTGTGCAAATGTGCAATTTGTCCATCATTAAAACGGCAGCATCACATTACGTTTTGATCAACAGGTTACAAAGTTTGTTGTAGCTATATGGGCGCTCAGTTTTTCCTGTTGTAAAATACGTTTGGCCAAAATGTCATTTTATAAAAGATGAAATGCTACTGTATGCACAGGCTATTTAAGTGTAGGCTATTGGCTATGACTAATTTAGATGGCAAATGCCCTCTCTCCGCAGGTCCGGTCTCAGACCTCAAATGCATAAAACATGAGCCTTTATACAGTAGACATACTAGTGTTTCTTGCGTAAAGACAACGCTGTACTTATACAAACAAGAAGATATTTATTTACCCTTGCAAGACGTTCAGCTGCTCTGCTGTGGAACTTCAGTTCACTGCACTCAGTCAGTCAAGACAGGGGGTGGAGTTATGAGGTTTGACTGACAGTTTGAGCGGATCCAACAAGATTTAGTCACAAACTCTTTTTAATACCTTTCATTCGCTAAATATATTTGTAAAACAGACAGACAGACGTAAAGGGTGACCAATAGCACTGATTTATTGAAGAAGAAGAAAAAAAAAAAAAGGGCACTTCGGAGCGTAAGGACAAAAAAGGGCATGTGCTCTGCACAAGTTGAGCCCTACCTGTGCACGTGCCTGGTGTACAGTAATGAGGTGAGTAAATGATGATGGAATGTTCTTTTTTTTGGGGTGAAATATCCCTTTAATAAACATACTAAATTATGTCTTAATAAATTAGTGCTAAAGTGTGAGGGTTAGGTAAGCTGAATGGTAAGGGTTTACTATAAGAGGTCAACATACTATAAAAACAATAGAAGTCAACTTAAAAGTCTCCAAAATGATAGAAAACAACGTGTGATTGTATGCTGCAAGGTTTTACACCGGTACCACCCGTCTCCATTGCAACTAGCTAGTTCAGGTAGTTTGTCCCTGTTGTAACACCGTAGCACTTCAACACTCCAGCAAGACGGGAATGAGAAGTGCAGGGGAGGGAGGAAAAAAAAACTAAGTGGCTGGAAAACAGTGTTGTGTTTTCTTGCAGACGTCACAGCCCGACCACAGACAGCAGAAGTAGGAATAGGATCATACCAAGACAAGGACAGAGAAGTTCAGAATGAAACACATCAAAATATACAACATTACAGCAAAAGGACAAAGTTGATTCCCGAGGCGACTCGTTAGGGAATATCTGAATAATAATAAATATTATGTATGCATCGTGACCAGTCACTGCCATAAAGGGTCCGGGCTGAAAACAAGGGACTGTTTATGGTTTTACGTTCTTCTCCCTCTCTTTCTCTCCAACAAATCGGCGGAGGTTTTGCGCACAACCGGGAGGCGCCGCTGACTGACGGCAGGAGGAATGAAAGTTTGCCAGGCGGGCGGAATATTATTCGACGTAAACACGTATTGTTTTTGACACCAGGACTGCATATTTCAATCCTATACACACCGTAGAGACTTTAAAAACTGGACATTAACTAAGCCGAGCAGCGAGGTCGAAATCAACACAGAAATCCTGTTTAAGGCGTGTGCGTGGGTTGCGCCGTAACATGACGGCTGTGGCAGATTGACGCGGATATCACGAGCGCCGCTGTTTAGGAGCTCGGCTTCTGATTTATCACGAAGTTCTGCCTCTTTATTTGCATATTTTGTGATTTATACGGCTCGTGTATATATTAATCTACTGCTTTTGACTGAGGTAGGCTTGGCTTAATTTACGCAGTGCTGCCAAAATGAGTGTAGAGACGGAGCGCAGTGTGGCAGATCTGATTCAAGCTCATGTAAATGTTGCCATGCAATCTTCAGGATTATAGGCTCAATCTCAACCTTTATCATCGATTAATGCTCGCTAGGCATTTCGCGGTCGTCTCCGGCTAACAATCACCCGAAGAACCGGATCGCTTGGTCTTAAAGAACCTTTTGTTCTCCGGTAAAGAAGAAACAAACATTTTATGGTCAGAAATCCTGCAGCTGTTGTCGGTTAAACGGGTCGCGGCGGAGACGAGCCAGATGTTTCTCCGGGAACCTCACAAGTTTTTCTGAACTGTCCCTTGAAATAAACATTGTGATAAAATAATAGCGCAGTCGTAGCTGCACTTTTGGAGTACCTATTTTGAATCTGCTAAAAAACTTGTAAAAATGTCAGAAAACGCACCTACTCGGAGTCTGGATGACATCGACCTGGCCGCCCTGCGGGTGAGTGAGCGTGTCTGCGTGTGTGTCCACCTGCCTGCACCTGCCACAGGCCTTCACACCCAAACAAATCCATTACAGTATGATCAGTGCCATCATTATGGGCTACGAGGGACAATATCAACACATCAAATAGTTTTTAATAATAATCTTAAAGGTTTTTTTAGCTCACAAATGATTATTTTCTGCAAGCAGGCGAGTCTTGGGCCTGTATCATGTAATCTAATAATCCAGGCCTGGAGTGTTTATGCATTTCTGTATGTGTGTATGTAAGTATAGGTTTCTCTCTCTCACTCGCACACGGACAGTTGTGGTTTGGGAGGGCCTACCTTGCAAATAAGTGTTGACACTGAATAAACTTGCTTAGTAATCTTAGAGTAGCTCGCTTGTTATATGGGGAATACCCTGCAAAATATTAGTTTAGCTTTCCATATAGGCCATCACTATTTGTGTTTACATATAATGCAAATGTGACAGAATGATTCAGTGGGCTGTGATTTTTTTTTATGGCTTTTATTTTATTTATTTTAAAAAAGCTCAACATTCCCTGCAGACCAGATGCTGGAAAGTCTTGGTAAATGGATAAAAATTGTACAGCAACGACTGAGTCCGTTTTGGGAAGGGAGAAAATGAGTTGCCCAGTTAGTATGCAGAAGTGGGCAGATTATCATCTTGACATTAATCCAGACTACATAGCAAGATGATAATCCTTTACCAAAGTCTGTTTTAGCAGGAAACTAGCCTAGTATATTTTAGCAAAACAATTAATTTCTTACCTAATACACTACCGTACAAAAAAAAAAAGAAAAGTTATTACAAATTAAAATAATGTTTTTGTTGAAACGATGATATTTTTTTTTTTGCAGGATTCTGTGATCAATATAGAATGTTCAAAAAGAACAGAATTTATTTCAAATAGAAATCTTTGTAAAATTATACATCTTTTCCTGTCACATTGGATCAGTTTAATGCGTCTTGTCTGAATTAAAAGTATAATTTTTTTCTTTAAAAATTCTTTCTCAAAACCTTTGAACAGTAGTGTGTGTATGTATATATGTGTGTGTGTGTGTGTGTGTGTGTGTATATATATATATATATATATATATATATATATATATAAACCTCAGAATAGATAGCATATGTTTTATACCAGAATGGGTAGTTAATGTGCGAGCAGAAGGCTAATCTAGTCATCTAGTTTAGTGGTATGTTAGCAGGTGACTAATTACGCTCACTAATTAGGTGAGTTACTGCATATAGAAAAGGTAACTTAACTGCCATTCACAAAGGTCCAAAACATTCACTAAATGTCCGTTTTGATATTTGTGAGTTATACTTAGTTTTATATTTACAGTTTTCATTTTAATTTTAGTTTAATTTTTTAGTAATTTTGTTATGTGGTTTTATTTTTAATCTTTTTTTTTTAAACATTGCTATTTAGGTTTAAATTATTTTTATTTATCTTTTAGTTTTAACTCAGTTTTAATTTTATTTATTTCTAGTTAGTAGTTCAACTTAAACTTATGGCAGTTACCTGTCATTTAGCCTCAATCGAAATATCATAAGTCAGTCTTCCTGTGAAACGACAGATTTCCTTCTGGTGACGTATGCCAGACTTCTCCAGTCATTTAGTTAGTTGCCAAGGCAACATTTCTAATTTTAAAATTTAAGTTTTTCATCTAATATTAATATTTATTTTAATATTTCCAGATTTATTTCAATGAACAAAAACATTTTTAATAGTTGGTTATGAATGTGGTTGTTTACGCTGGTTGTTTATGAATACCGAGGTATGCATCATTCCTAAACAAGAGCCTTGTGGACTGGAAGTGAACAGTAGAGGACTCAATCCATCCCTCTTTTGACACTTAAGCACTTACGTATGTTAGTGGATTTGTGAATAAGCCATATATGTTAGAGCTCTGGCCGTAACTCTCCTTCTCTCTTGTGTTTTGGTACAGTGAGTTCCTGGGCACAGCTTTCCAGGGTGTGATGTGTCTGATTTTGCCCCTAGAGAGAGAGATGGAGCACGATGATTCACTTGAGCTCATTGTTTGATAGCTGTCCTATATAACACCCACATACTGTGTCTCATAGACGCACATTTAGGGGGGCATTTAGACTATCACAAGAGGTCTGCCTTACATGTGGCCCTCAAGCTCTCCAGTTCACCTGTGGTCATCTCAGTTTCACTTCTTGTAACGATCACTTTTAAATAACATTAGACTTGCCAGAGCATCAAACTTGGCATCGAAGCAGGTGAAATTATTTAGTGCCTGGATTTTGTGAATTCATATTTAAATGTGTCCATTACATAATCATAACAGCAGCCGTTTGATGGTTGGGTTGCTTATGTAAAGGAGACATAAATGCTAATAACATCATAACAGAAACCAAAATATTAAATAGTAATGATCTAAGCTATTGGCTAAACACCAACTAATGAATATGCATGACTCGAAAAATCTGACAAATTTAACAGAAGCTTGTCATTGGCTGATCAAAATAAAACCAGCTGTCGAATAAACCAGCTGAAGTACACATGTGCATAAAGCCAGAGGTTTGCTGTACACTGGGAAGGAGCAAATATTTATTCATGTTTATTGGTACTATCTGCATTCATGAGGTTGCAGGTTAATGATGTATCTTGATCTAGTAATGCTTAAATATTGATAACCGTAGACTGGATCTGATGGGCATTGGCTTCATCCCTAGTCGGATAGCTGCATGCTGTTCAGAATATTTTCCAACTTTATGTTGGTTTATGAGGGTGTTTATGTAGCATATACTAAGTTGTCTAGCTGGGTTGACTTAGCTGCACATCCATGAAGGAACTAATACAGTTGCATAATCCAAAAAAAGAAAAAAAATTCACAATAAAAAAAAAACAAGAGTCATCATGATAGATGCTTTTTTTATCATAAATGACTTGATTGTAATGTTGTCCTGTGCAACATATGGTAATAATATAATAATGTATATGAATCTATTCCTGTGCTTTGAAATCAGTAATCTTTCAAATTAATTCAGATTAAGAGAATGATCTTGTCATACAAACATATATCAGTGAACAAGATTTATATGAGGTCACCTTGCCAAACATGCCAGTCACTTCACTGATTTGCAGTTACAGTTTGTATTCAAATGGGTTTTGTAGACCAATTAGCTCATTATCCTTTATGATAACATCATTTCTCTGTTAGCGTGGCTTTTTTATTTTTAAATTTGATTTGATGTTTTTGTATGTTTCAGATGGGGTTTTCGGTTAACATTAGCATATATTGGCATATATTTTCCATTGGGATGTTAGTTTATGTTCAGTCCTGTCACTCATCACTTTCACAAAAATACACTGAATCATATAAGAGTTATCTTGTATTTTTAATATTAAATTCAGTCGTTTTACGATCTTTGAAAAGCCAGAGGCAACCTTTTCAGCAAACTTCCTTCCCTCTGTCTTTCCTTTCTCAATTTGTCCTCCTTTATTCTCCAGGGGAAAGCTTTATTATCTGTTTATCATTTTATTCATTAGCTCATTTATTCTTTTCTCTGCTTATGTGTCATCTCTCTTTCCCTCTTTCTCTGAGACAGATGCTCTCTAGAGAATAGACTAATTTCGTTTGATGATCTTTGTAAAATCGGTTTGAATATTATAAGGGCACTAGAATATATATGTTGGATATGTTATTATTATTTTGTTATAAACTATCTTGGTTTTTTTTATCCCGTTTGTGTTTGTTCTCATTTCCATTCGTCCTCTTACTGATGGTTCACATAAGAGCATGTTGCTCACTTACAGCTCGCCACTCCAGATCTCTTTGAGAGAGAAAGAGAGGAAGACATAAAAAGAGAGATGAAGAGAGTGAGAGAGAAAAAGATTGCAGTTATTGTAGTCAGATGAGAGTGAGATGATCGTGGTGTGTATGTGGTGTCTGGTGTGTGTGTGTGAGCGCTAGGAAGAACGTTAGCCTTGTCCACCCAG